TTTTTTTTATTCAGCAGGATTTTTACTCTGAAAAAAACAATTTTTTATGCAAAAGCGACAAGGTGTGGCTGACACAAAGGACATGAGTCCACAGCTGCAGCCCACCCACTCCCAGAGGCTTCACATGACAGTTAGGCAGAGATGCCCTGAAACATTCCTCAGATTGCTTGAGGCCCGTCCACCATGAGGATCCGCCTGCCAGGATCTGCTGCTATGAACTCTCTGCAGCCTGGCAACCATGCTGGAGGCGAGTGTGACCTGACCAGTGACGAGCAGGACTCTTTGCTGACACCCTCTCTTCCTCCCCTCCTCTGAGGGTATCGGCTTCACCTGGAACCCCATCAACATACTGCTTGGTCACTTGAAATTGTCACTGTGGTGATGCCATCCCTCATCTACTTTTATGGGATGGAGCTGATGATTCCAGTGTAGGATTTCATATTTACCTACATCGAACTCAGGTCATCTCAAAGGCATATGAAGAAAACGAGGGGGGAAGATGCCCCAAAGGCACTTTCATATCCAACTTTCTAGGATTTGTTTACTTGATCACAGTTGCTCATCTAATCTGAAGCGCAGAATGGGACAACAGCCTTCAGCTGAAAGGCTCAGACAGTATAATCTGGAGCACTTTAACCCTGACTGGAAAAAGGTTATTGTTATATATTACAATTTTCTGTTAGTCAATCGTTATTGTGGCTCTTTTTTCACTTGATAAGAATAGTTTGTATATCTTCTTTTGACTTTTCAGACACATCTATTTAGTAATTTTAAACACATATTAAAACTAAAATGGCTAAAAAACACTGGCAGATTTATAAAAGGATAAATTTTCTCTGCATTTGAAAGCCTTTCAATCAAATATAAACGTATGTCTAAAATGACGCGTCTAACACTTACATACAGAGTGCAATGTAATTGGTACCACAGAATAACTGCTCTTTCTACACCAGAAGCATGAAGACACGAACAAAAAGAAATAGAAGATGTCTTTTGCCCAAACGCTCACCTTCCAGAACTGGGCCGTGGTCTGGGCTAGAAAGCTCAAAGTTCAAGCCAGATTGTGCTTTCAGAAACATTTCCCCTTTTAGTTTTATGTCACAGATATCAGAACAACACTTAGCTTCGAAATAATCTGCTGATATCATCACTTTTCTGGAGAGAAGGGAGGCTCCTCCCTCATGTCCATGACTAAGGTTATCTGTGTGGAAACAGGCTCCTGGTTGCCTAGGAATTCACTGGCTCTCGGCGGTGTGTTTCCCACTCTCCTGGAAGCCATAACCTCTGTCTGCCCGAGATACCATCATTCTTCTTCAGCGTCATGGAGAGTCATGCTACATAAAAAGCGTTATTTCTTGAAACACCTTTCAGACATTCTTATCAAGTGAAGAAATAGCCAGAGTAAAGGTTCCGTGACTAACCGAAAAGTGTCACATTCATGCACTACAGCAGTCTCTCTGGACATTTTTTAAGTGTAGCTTCTTTTTTTAAAAAAAAAAACACAAATAATTTTATAAGGTATTTTTGGTTTTCCAAAGTCCTAAAGTAATACAATGCTCATTGTAACACGGCAAATAAATCAGAGTTACATAAAGTTCCATCGCCTTCCTCTTTCTCACTCCAACCCTGAGTTAACCCAAGTTATGCCCCTGAGATAACCTATTTTAAAGCTTGTTGTGTATCATTCCATGTTTTATTAATATGTTCATACAATCTTATTCATGAACATATATGCATAACATATCTCCCTTTTGTAATACAACCTATTATAAATCTGGAAAGTCTCCTATTGTTCTGCAACTTGTTTTTTAATTTAACACTATCATAAACATCTTTCCAAGCCAATGTACACAACTTGACCACATTGTTTTGAATGGCTGCACAGTATGTCACCTTATTAATGTAAAAAAATTATATAACCATATCCTTGTTGACGAACGATTAGAGTATTTATCAACTGTTTACTATTACAATGTTACAGTTAAAATACCAGCACATATTTTTCTACATATTTACTACATTTTTTCCTCCTATAGGATAGATGCCTACATGTGGGAGTGATGTCAAAGAGAATACACGTTCTTGCTTTTTAAAAAAGACAGAACCAACAGTGCTGGCGTGTACCCTTTCCCCAGCAACTCTGATAATACTAGATGTTATCAACTTTTCTAAATATTGTCAGGCTAGTGGGGAAAAACAATCAGGTTTTGTAAGTTCCACTTCCACGGTACCAGCTGAAATATTCAGCTGTTATTTTATTGTAGCTCCTATGAAAAGTTATAGTCATCACTTGTCAAGAGACAACACGTTCTTTTTCCACATTTCTTTTTACGACCCTGAAGGACACAAACCTTGCATACTATTGATCTGAAAATGCCCTGTGAAAGTACAAATTTTCACTTACCCACCAGGAGAGTTAAAGTCACAATTCTGTTATACGAATTCAACTATTGATATTATCTGAAATAACAACAGGATTCTAATTTTTAATCATCTGAACTGTCAATCTTAACAATCAAAAAAGGTTTTGCCAACCTTCCAACCTACTATCAAAGTCAAATTAACAAAACATTAGCAATCAAGAAAGCAACCAAAATCTGCAGACTGTCACTAAAGGATACTGTGACAGTGATAACGGGGCGCTGATGAGTTGAGGGGTGGGAAGGCTTACCTGAGGTGATAATAATTAAGACTTGAGTTATCAAAAAAGAGCCAGGTGTATGTAGAAGGCATGGTCAAGTAATAGAAAGGCCAATGGGTCTAGAAAATAGTAAGGGCAGGAAACAATAGCAGGACAGCAGGGTGGGATGTAATGATTGAGAGTGAAGCAGAGAAGAGGTAGGAAGCAAGAATCTTCTTGGCACGTGCGAATTTCGAAGCCTATTATATATTCAAGTGTAGATGAGATTAAGCAACCCAGGAGGTGACTCCAGGGTCCAGGAAGGAGCCAGGGCTAATAATATGGATTTACCAGACACTAACATCAAGATGCCATTTAAAGTCACAATAAGGTCACATAAGGGTCATCTGGAGACATGAAAAAGTCAAAGGGTGCATCTGTAGAGATACAGGATCACAGTTAAGTACTAAATGTTCTTGAAAATATAGTGGTGTTACACTATGATTTAAAGATAGGACTGAAAATTAGATCTATCTAAAGCTTTAATATGCACTATTTTAACTATACTGAGTTACTTATAAGGCAAAAAATTTATATTAAAATTGCAATAATGACCCCCTAAGATATTTTTTGAGGTCAGACATTCATGAACAAAGTGGTGGCAATTTAAGTGAATCATGTTAGCAGATATATAAACACAAAACTTTTTGGCTTCATGAGTAAACACATTAACAATCTGCGACAAAGTCTTATTACCTGGTGCACATAAAGTGTTGGGTAATGAAAGAAATTTTCTAAGAAAGGCTTATTGTGTGAAACAATAACTTGAAAACATGTAAGTGCTTTGATTCCTATGACCTTGAGAATGAGCACCTCCTTAAAGTTTGCACCCTTGGTGCTTTTTCTTTCCTCTCTCCTGGTTCCAGCATAGTTGACTCCTTTTAATTAGTCTAAAATGCGTGTCTTATTTCATTTATTCAAATGATTAAAATAACGAATGTACACATATCAATTAAAATATTGACATCTAAAATTTAAAAATCCCAATTTGAAAATTTACAAATGCCACGACTTAACAAAAATGAAACTAAACAGGCTACAACTAAATTTAATCTCATAATTTATCTCACATCATGTAACTGGGTTTTGGAATGTCACTTATGAGAGTCAGGAAATTGTTCAACACTGTACATCATAAAGGTCCAATGTATGTGTAATATTCAGATGCCTTTAGAAGTTTGTTTCCTCTTTCTGGCAATAAGCGTAACAGATAGAATAACTTTATAATGAAATTGAAACAAATACACAAAAACTCACTCAAAGATCAGTTTTGTTTTGAAGCTACTAAACAAATGCCAGGGAATTTCCAAGCAAGTAGCTGAAACTCTTAAAATACATGATGGCCTGGAAAGACAATACTTATATATTCAACACAAGTTGAACTTCTTGACCCATAAATAAGCAATTTTAGCAGATAATCTATCTCTGTGACTCATTAAATGTATTATTTGTAATAACATACAGATATATTATAAATATAGAATGTATAAAATGTAATAAATACATAAAACTTCATGAATAATGATTTTATTACAAAGAAAATTATAAACTGAATAAAGCAGTAAGAAATGAGTGAAATAAAATGAACTTAAGAGAAATGTGGTTTGCTCAGTACCAAAACCAGATAATGAAGAAGCAGTTTACTTTTAAACATCATTCACATTCCTCAGGTTCTGATTGGCCTATGTATATAATTAGCTGTTTATGGAAAATTTAGCTTTCAGCAACAGCTAAAAGAATCTTGTTTGAAATTAAAAAAAAAAAAAAGTAATTGGAAAAATTAGATCTTTTAATTCCAAGAATACTGCAATTAAAAATAACTTTTTAATATCATTTGAACTCAACTAAATAAGCTTCATGGTCTAAAAACTTAATTTCAAATCCCTGTCTCATACACAGTGATGAAATCAGGATAAACAAAAATAGCAAAGTCTATACTTTCTATAAATAAGTATATAAAAACTTGAGAAGAGAAAAATTAAGTACTGTATATTTATTCAATAGTAGAAGAACAGCTAGTACATTTTTAATGTCAGATATGTAGCTATCTCATCACTCATCACCAGCTAGATAAATAAATAAAGCTAAAAGAAATGCAGTGATGATTAAATATATTCATTGCAAAATAAAACAATGACCAAAGTAATAGCATTCACAGAGGCATGAGAGGCCCTGGGCAGAAAAAGCGTGTAAGGACAGAAACGGAAAAGAGCGACAACAAATACAGTTGAGGTTACTTAAACAAATAGCACACTTAAACGGAAGACAATGGAATGACTATTCAACTGGGGGCTTCAAAAGGAGAAAAAGTCTTCCTTACCTGAGTGAGGAACACAGACAATGGATAAAGCAAATAAGAACAACAGGGAAGTTGGCTTCCACTTCCAGTGACAGCTCCACATTCGACCCAAATGAAACATCCTGCAATGGAAGGAAGCGGCAGTCAGGACACGCAGAGTTCAATAAAGAATTAGGAAATTAACAGTAAAGGTACAGGTTTCCAGCAGGAACCAGCAATTAGAAACCTTTCTCAGTCTTGCTTCTAAATAAAGATGATGAACTAACCACCTCCTTTAGGCTGATTAGGCAAAAGAAAAAAAAATCCATTTGTTTTACTTGCCACCTGGTAGTACCTTCCTTATTAGAGAATATATGAAAGGTGATCTTTGCATGGCGATGGGGGAATAGGCATAAAGTTCAAGGGAAAAAATCATTTCTTAAGAAAAATAAAGCAATTTCAGCTTCAGAGTTTAGCATCACCATGGCCATCTGGGTGGCAAGAGGATGATTATATCAGGACCCCTTATCATCTCCCAGAAATTCAAACTTTAAGAAAATATTTTCATTTTGTAATATCTGCTGCTTCACAAATGGAAATGATTAAAATTAAATTGCCCCTACAATGAAGCATTGAAGCATTAACAACCAAAAAGATGAACTTCTTTGTCTAGCTATCAATGTTTTTATATGGCTAATAAACACCAAGTATTATAGAAACTAGTAAATGACATTAGAGAGGTGGTGCTTTGAAAACCACCACCAATTCTCTATATAACTAATGGTCTTGTCTTTAAACTCAAAATCATCCTTAATAATGATTTAGACAGGAACAGTCATATTATCTTGGCTCAAAACAGTGGTTTGATACCTTTCATTGACTCAGCCCCACCAAAAGAGGCAAGCCAGTGAAGGGGGCAGCAAGTATGAAAGTCAGTCACCAAAAGGGACCTTATAAAAGGACTGGTGACAAGAGAGTCACGAAGCAGGAGGATAGACAACCAGCAGTAAGAAATCTCCAGATCTTAAATCCCCAAAGGGACTTAGTTACTTTGCTTATAAGTGGTAATTAAGAGTCATTTTACTTCTAAAAAGAGGGGCAACTCATAAGATATTTTAGGGTCACAGTACAGTTGACCCTCGAACAACCTAGGAGTTAGGGGTGCTGCTCGCTGTAGAGTCGAAAATCCATGTATAACTTATGACTCCAAACAAACTTAACTAGTTTTCTCTTAGTAAGCGTGGGGGCCAATTGTGTATATATATATATATACAAAATCGGCATATAAGTGGACTGCAGCAGTTCAAACCCATGTTGTTCAAGGGTCAACTGTAATACCTTCTTTACCTGAAGGTGGCCCATCTGGCGTAAAATACATAATACTAACCAGAATACCAGAAAAGTGGGAACACATCAAGTGATTCCTGCACTTGCCTCAAGCCTGCATTTTCAATCTGCATTTTACTCTTAGAGACCATCTAAGTAGCAAAGAGAACATACTCTAAAGTCAGACCAACCTGGGTTTGCTACTTATAAACTGTGTCACCCTTGGGAAATTTACTCGACCATCCTGTGCCTCCTTTTTTTACCTGTAAGTTAGGAACAGCAATGGAATCTAGTCCATAGAGTTGTTGGATGACTAAGTCAAACCATGTCTTTTAAGGATAGCGACTGTCACTCAGTAAGCACTCAATAAAAACTGGTTATTGCTATTGCCATCCTCTCATGCACCCTAACACAAGTGTGGCTATTCTGTCAACAGTGAAATCAAAAGAAAACACTATAACAAGAATGGACAATAGGGCTAATGCCATAGACCAATTCCAATGAACTGACTTCGTGGCCACTTCTGGGACCACTTTGCAACAGAAATAAATTATTCACTGGGTCATGAACACAAAAATTTCAAGTAGTGTCTCATATTCATGCCATGTTTTTATATTCACCATACTAGAATTTCCAGCATCATGCAGCTCCTAATGGAAATTCTAAACTAGAGAAAGATTAAAGTCTGAAGATATATATTTTTTTTTTGTATAAAAGGTATGTTTTCAAATACATACATCCAAAATATTTGAAATCAATAGCAGTGTTACTGCTTATGAGAAGCGAGCTGGTAGAGTAAGTCATCATCCTAATAATGGATGTCAACTCTGGAATAACACAGTTACATCCTGGAGCCTCAACTTACAGTGTGGTTTGGGAGGCAAAACTCTCAGCCTATTTTGAGGATATTATCTACCAAAGGGAACTAGAGATAGCACTGCATGGTACTTAGTAAGAGCTTCAAAAAGGTAAATGATAAACTTCGGTCACACAGAAAGTTCACTCATTTGGATGAATGTGTCCATTTCCCATTGATGCTGGATGAATGAGGTGTTTCCCACTCATCCTGAAGATGAATGAGTGTGCTTCTAAGCAAAAGAACAATATATATTCAAAAAAGTTTAGATCTGGGAGGACCAAAGATGAAGTCTAACCTCCTCACTTCACAGAGGAGGAAACTGAAGCCCAGAGAAATAAAGGAGCAGACCAATCTAACTTGGCTTGCCAGGCCTACAGATATTAACAGAAGGCAGAACCAGCCCAAGAGAACGCCCAGCTTCTTAATCTTTGCGGCATGTGAGAATTCTCCTCTATCAATATATGACTAATGGCCCCCTTTTCGGTTCAAATGCTCTCTAAACAGGATTCAATGAATTGCATTCATTAGCTTGGCAACACTCAATACTGTTTATTTCATGCACTCACACAACTTCCTTTAGCTGCAAAGGGTTCTGACATTTGTGGAGTCCATATCCAAACCTGAAGCTGCTTTACAAAAGCTGCCTGCGACTGTCAGACACCCAAGGGCTTGATGCATCCCAGTTCCGAAGGCTCCATCACTCTGCACAGAAAGCGAGCTCGGGCCAGGGCGAGTACTTGTAACAAAACATAAACCATATGACACGCCAACTTTCATCCACTTTGCTGTTTACTGAAGATCAGAAACAAATAAATTAAGAATAGAACAGAGGAAGGAAAGCACTGCGTGTCTTCTCAGGGGATCATTTAGCAAAGACACATCCCTGAGATTTAAACAACTTTCTCACAAGAATGGAAAATTCGAACAGGGTTACTAGGGTTCTAAGTAAGAACTACAAAAAAACAGTACAATCTGTGTCACCTGGGTCATGGCCTCAAAGTTCTTTTAAAGAGAGCAAGAATATCGTTCAGTAAAAGAGAGTCACAGACTTAATAATCTGAAAAGAATCTAAAAATTACACAATAAAACCTATCATCTCACAGGTAAAAGAACTATGACGCTAAGCCACTTGCGTAAGAGCATATAATCAGTGGTGAGAGAGCCAAAAGACCCCTCCCCCCGTGTCACCTGGCTCCCAACTCACCTGTCTTTTTGAGAATCACACTACCTCAACTGCAAACTTGATTCTAGTTTTCAATCTGTATAGACTACAAAATACAATATGCTTGAGTCCTGTCTCAGGAAGCTTGAAAACTTAACACTTTTACAGGAATTGTTTTAAATGGGGGTATAACCCTTGGTGGACAAGATTTAATCCAAATGCATCACTGAAATAATCTAAAAAAAACTACCATCTTTCATCTTTTTGCTCCTACTGGCTCCTCTAAACATCACAGTTTAAAGAGAAATTAATGAAGAAATTTTGCAATTAGTGGAGAAATTGATATGCTACTAGTTCTCTTAATACCAGAAATCATTAGAATTAACTTCATTCTCCATGCCGCAACTGTATTTCTATGCCACACCTTTTCACAAAAGGGAGTGAGGAGTGGCTAAGAGCATAGCTGAATTCTTCCAGAGTGAAAACAATGGTAATTTGGTTTATTCAAGTCTGCTTATAATTGTATTTCTTCTTCTAGTTAAAGATAATGTTCCTGAGCCTAAGCAATGAATGAAAAGGGAAAGGGCTACTCTGTTATTCAAGATCTGTTATTAAGTTGGGATCATCTCTCTTCAAAAAGGCGGAAAGGTTTACTCTTCACAACGGCACAAATCTTGACCCTTACTTGAGCTGTAGCATGCACAACTGGCCTGCACCATAGGTGAATTACAAGGCACCCTTGAGACAGACACACACACACACACACACACGAGTACATGTAGTTGGGATATTATGCTAGAGTTTTGCAAAATGTTACATTGGGAGAAACTGGGTAAAGGGTACCCAGGATCTCTCTTGGTATTATTTCTTACAACTGCATGTGAATTTACAAATATCTCAATAAAATTTTCAATTAAGAAAGTAAACCCTAAATCCCTGATGTATGTAGTTTACTCTCAAATGTTTTGGGGGAAAATTACGTACATGTGTGTGTATGTATGTGTGTGTGTGTACAGGGTGGAGGGAAGAAGAGAGGAAGCAAAAAGATAAAATAAATGAAGTAAATATTTATAATAAGTGACTCTGTATAAGAGTATACAGGTGTTCTCTGTACTATTCTTGCAACTTTTCTGTAGGTTTAAAATTATTTCTAAAGAAACTTAAACACACACATATGCATTTACACTGAAGTGTTTCAATGTTTATCTTATGACACATTCATCGCTATTGAGTAAATCATTGCCAGTTTGATAGAAGTAGTGTCTCATTTGGATTTCCTTTATTTGGATTGGCGTGTTCAAGTTATGTGTACAGTGTTCTATTACAATACAAATGGTTTTCTTACTGATCTGTGGTTTTTTTTTTTTTTTTACCAATTCTACCCTAAATATGTTAAACCTCAGTCCTACTTGCTACAAATGTTTTAAATACAGTAATCTTGAAGCAACTTTGATTTCCTTGAAGAAAACTGAATAATTACATCCTGGGTGATGCTTATAAAGGAAAGTAGGATGATACTCAGGTAGCCACACTTAAGTTTTTTGGCATTTTTACTTACAATTGAAATGTCCTTTAAATGCTGTCACCTCAGCATGCATCCAATGTAGATAATGCAATAATGCCATCCAATTAGAAAGGAAAATGGAAAGATACAGTTTTTGCCCAAGCATGCCACACACATTGAACAAAGTCTTTTTCTATTTAGTCTAAATAGTCTTTAGAAACTTTTAACCATCCCATCAGAAATGTAAACTCTGGAAGATATGGGCAGTTAAAAAATGGTCAGGTTTAAGGAAGCAGTTGT